ACTGGCATTCTATCCAGATTTTCTTGTGTGGCTGTAGTAGCGGTCTGGTTGCAGTGGTTGACATGGAGGAATGAATGGCCAGTCTGATATTTATTTATGATTTTCTCATTGAAAAAGGATGCAAACTCATTACACTTAGTTTGGGAAATGAAATCAGGTGCTAATGGTGCTGGGAGGTTAGTTAGCCCCTCAGTGGCAAATACAAAACAGGAATTGTTATTAGCACTAATAACTTTGGAGAAAAAAGTTTTTCACAATCTAGAGTTGTAAGTGTACAGCTGCATTCTGATGGTCTCAAAGTGACCTGGTAGGTAACTTTTCTCCATTTGCTTTCAGCTTTCCTGCTTTCTCTTTTGTGATTTGTAACAAATTTAGTGTACCTCGATGGAGCTTTTTGTTTGCCTGAGATAAGTTTGATCTTTTAGGGTGCAATGGTGTCAAGGACTCAAGGATTTAGATTTGAATCAACACAGTTGGTTGTTAGAGTTTTCCTTTCCCTCAACCCATCTGTGTGCTGGAACCCACATAAATCTAATTTCTATTTCTAATTTATTCAATATTAATAAACATTCAACTATTTCTAAAATATTTGGTCTACTATCAGTTGACAATGACTTAATTGTCATTAGAGCCAAAAGTGAATCTGTAAATATACTATACTTTTTTATTCTATTTTGTTCTATCCAAAGTAAGCTAAATGAGATTGCTAACTATTAGAAGTTCTGAAATGTATACACTTTTCTAAAACTGGAATACAAAAAGAGAAACCCGTGCTCTCATTTCCTGTCTTTTGAGTCGTCTGTAAATATTGAAAGAAATCCATCCATCCATTGTCTGAACCCGCTTCCGCTAACTATTTAACTTCAAACTTAAATTAATTAACAAATAACAAAATAATAAACTAAAGGAATTCCTTCAGTCCCCTCTTCCTGGAGCTATTGGTTTGGCCCCATCAGCTCCTCCTGTATTTAGCTGACAGCACACCTTCAACACTGTTTGCCTGTCCCATCCCAGGAAGCAGGAAGTGGAGAACCTCTCAGCACCGGTAAAAGAAAACATAAATTAACTTAAATAGAACAAATGACAGGAGTACAGCAGTTAACTAAATGTGCAAGCTTACAATCAGAACTAATGCATTTAAGCCGTCTAAACAATAAATCCAAAGAAATATAAACGTACAAACTGAAATCATGAAAGTGCATGAGTGTGCTAACGTTCACTGTTTTGTTGACATGGATGTGGCCATCACAGTCCCCTTTTCCACATAACACCATCATCCGCAAACAAAGCTTTACCAATATCTAATCCTAAATCATCAAACACATCATTAATCATAATAGAAAACAACACTGGACTAATTACACTACCTTGAGGTGTACCATTGTCAACCGTATAACTATTCGAAGTGCTATGCTCTATTTTCACTTGAATTAATCTATTAAATAAGAAATCCTTTATCCAATTATATGATTTACCTACAATTCCCAATCCTCTTAATTTAATCAGTAATCCCTCCTTCCACACCATACTGTATCATGAGCTTTCTCATTATCTAAAAAAAACAACTATTAGACTCTCTTTATTTTTCTTGTGCTCTAGTAATTTCATTTTCCATACTCACTACAGGATCCATTGATCCTCTACCTTTCCTGAATCCATTTTGACACTTAGTCAACAATTTCTTACTTTCTAGATAATAATTTAATTTCTCCATAATTAATCTCTCCATTATCTTCCCTAAATGCGATGTCAATGCTATAGGTCTGTAATTTTCTGGGTTACTTGTTTTTTTTTCCTGGTTTAAGTATTGGTATTATTGACGCCTCTTTCCAATTTCTCGGCAACTTACCTTCATCCCAGACTTTATTGAACAATTCAAACAGTTTAGCTTTCATCTTATCCCCTAAATGTTTAAGCATTACACAGTTGATATTGTCTTTTCCTGACGCCGATACTTCACTCGACCTCAGTACCTTGTCTAATTCGAACAATGAAAATGGTGCATCCGTTGCAGATGATCTTTGTATGTCCCCTTCTCCCACCATATACTTCAGTTTAGTTTCCTCTGTTCTGTTATGTCTAACGTCTGATAAATTTTTATTACTATGTATTCCCACATATGCTTTTACTAACATTTCTGCCTTATGTGTATTTTCAACAGCAATATTGTCACCTACATTAAGTACAGGATATCTAAACCCATTATAGACGCCTGTCATCTTTCTTATCATTCCCCAAACTTCACTTATTAATGTTGTCCTCCCAATTTTATCACAGAATCTAACCCAATTTTCTCTTTTTGCACCTTTAATCACTGTTCTTGCTTCCGCCTAGATTTTCAAAATGATGCGTCTTTTTCAACAACTTCAAACTTTAATTCCTCTCTTTAATTACGTTGTCACAGTTTTCGTTCCACCATGGTACATTTTTCTTTTTCATGGTTCCTTTACTCTTTGGTATAGACACCTCAGCCGCTTCAAGTAATTTCCTAAAAGTTTTTGCCGCCAATTCTAAATCTCCCTTCATATTCAAACTTTCAGTCTTTGTCACATGTTTCTCCAAATTTAATCCAACATGCAGTATTAAATAACCATCTGCCTTCCCGCTTTTCCAACCTTTCTTCTTCACCTCCAAAAATTTCTGTAAAGATTAAATAATGGTCTTCGTCTTACTCCCAAAATTATTTTCTTTAACATCCCAGGTACACTTTCCCGCCAATTCATTCGATACCAACGTTAAGTCTATAGCGGAGGTTTTGCCTGTGTGTATATTTAATCTCGTTCCTCTCCCATCATTTAAATAGACCAAATTACTATCATCCATTAAATCTTCAATTATTTCCCCATTTTTATCTTCCTAAGAACCTCCCCATACTTTACTATGCAAATTAAAGTCTCCACATAATATCAAATGATTAGATGCATCCTGAATAACCAGTTTGAGTTTACCAACATCTAAAACTTTGCACGGACTTTAATAATTAACCACATATATTGTTTCATTATCCACATAAATGTCTATTCCTATATATTCGTCTTCCTGCCCAATTTTAATTAGTCAATAATTAATTTTATGATTAATAAAGGTCGCACAACCCCCTCCAACACCTTCTTCTCTATCTCGTCTAACTATTGTATACGGAAATGATTTAAAATCTAACTTCTTATGCAACCAAGTTTCTTGAACACAAAAAACATCTGGTTTATCTACTAAGTCATCTATATAACTTTTAAACTCTTGTCCATTCGCTAACAGGCTCCTCGCATTCCATTGTAGTATCCTTACCATTTATTATCCTGTTACTTCTTGTCTTGAATGAGCACACAAACTGGTCCTGATCTCCTCCCATGACAACTCCTTAATATCCAGATGATTAATCGCTGCTTTCACTATAATTTGAATTCTTTTGGTTTTTGATTTTGATTCCATAGTAGCATTTATCACCCCCGCAATAAAGGTCACCAGTTTCTTAAAATCGATCCATAGTTTTCCCTCATTCTCCACTGTTTTTGGCACAAATTGAACTCTATTCATATTTATTCTCTCTGGTACCTCCCCCACCCTTTTCAAAGCTTCAGCATACGAGATTTTGTTTGGAACTCTAGTTTGCTGAACCTCCATCTCTCTCGTCATCACCTGACACCCAGCACTGTGACTTCTCCCACAATTACAACACCTTGGTTGCGATTTATTTGTGTACACCTCAGATTTGTGCTCTTCCCCACATCTGGGACATCTTTCCTTTCCTCTACACACAGTCGCCGTGTGTCCAAATCTCTGATATTTGCAGCATCTGAGCGGTTGTGGTATGTACTCCGGTACCGTATAAGACCTGCAACACAGAAAGACTCTACAAGGAAGAACATGTTCTTGGAACTCAATTAATACAGAGTCTTTGTCCTTCTTCTGCCCATCTCTGAACTCCGTGAATCTCCTTGCATTCTTCACATTTCCTCCTTTTAGATTGGCTTTTATTTCCTCAATAGTTACATCCACAGGAATTCCCCATATAACCCCTTTTGGTCCTTGCTCACCCATTCCCACTTTGCTCACACTAACAACTTTGTTTTCCCACTTCATTCATCTTACTAGCTTTGTCTCTCTGATCCTCAGTTCTACAAACGATTAGCAGATTTCCGTCCCTCAGCACATTAGCCAGTTTAATGTCCCAAACAAGGTTATTCAAAATGGAAGTCAGCTTGACTGGACTCACCTTTGCCACTCCAACTCCCTCATTGAACTTCAGAATGATCTTTAACTCACAGTCTTCTACCTCTCTAGGGCTCCCAGAAACGTCAACCCGACTCTGTCTCCTTATTTCTTGTGTGTCAGAATCATTTTGTCTTGTCCCTTTCCCCGAATCCTGAACAAAACTCATCTCCACGCAACTATCCTCGCTTTCACACTCTCCCAGTTCTCCCCATTCTTTCTCATTCACCACACGGCCGTGACTACCTGCCCTTGACTTTACTGCTTTCTTTTTCGCCATTCCATCCAACCGGATCCCTTGTCTTCTTTTCATCAGGATGTAACCAAGATTTCTATCCTTTCCATTCATCTTTTTTCTGCTCTTGACCCCCCGTAAACCGTCCGCTGTTTCTCTCCTAGACTCGCGCCAAAAATCTGGCAGTGGATTCTTCTTCTTCTCTTCTTTTATCCTCCTGGTTGTAGTCGGTAAAATGGAGGTGTGTTGAAACACACCTGCCACAGCGGCTTCTAGAGGGAGCTGTGATGAGTGTCTCTCTAGTGCCCTCCTGTGGCTGCCTGAAGGTGAAAGCAGAAAACCCACACAAAACTCACACACCAACTCCTGACAAAGACACTTAAACCTGTCCAGCTGTGGTACCTCTCCCCCAATCCAAAGCTGGCAGTCCACCCTTTGGGGCTGAGTACTATAGCCCTGGATTTGGATGGGGCTTTTGCTTAATTTAATGGTGTTTTTTTGGAAATGTCATCTCTGAAGTTGTAATGAAAAAACATTTTTGTGTCTTCTGTAACAGTTATGAAAGCATCACAAAGAAAGGAACCTCTTGGACCGTGGTCACCCCCATCACTTTTACTTACAAGGTAACTGAGACTCATGGCCTTCTCGACCCAAGCAATGATACCCTTCTGTTGGGTCATATCACTGACCCTCAGCAACTGGAGGACATTAAAAAATCAAACAAACCTACAAGGCGATTTGTGGTCATTGACCAGGAGGTCTTTAAAATCTACGGCTCCAAGGTGACTGAATATTTAGAGGCAAATGATGTGGTCTACAAGATTTTGGCACTTCCAACCACAGAGGAGAACAAATCCATGGAAACTGCCTTGAAGATACTAGATGAGGTCAATGACTTTGCCCTTGATCGCCGCACTGAGCCTATTATTGCCATAGGGGGAGGAGTGTGTCTAGACATAGTGGGCTTGGCAGCATCCCTCTACAGGAGGCGCACTCCTTACATCAGGGTCCCCACTACACTCCTTTCCTACGTTGATGCCAGCGTAGGGGCAAAAACAGGGGTTAACTTTGCAAACTGCAAGAATAAGCTGGGAGCTTATATTCCACCGGCTGCTGCTTTCCTTGATATGTCTTTCTTACAAAGTGTTCCAAGACGACACATTTCAAATGGGCTGGCAGAGATGTTAAAGGTATGATAAGTCATTGTCTATTTATGTCTGATAACCAAGTAAAATCCTTTATGTATTTTTTCAGCTTATTAATATTTTGTCTGTTTCTTATTATTTGCAGATGGCTTTGATGAAGCACAAAGGTCTTTTTGAGCTTCTTGAGGAACATGGTTGTATGTTGTTAGATACTAAATTCCAGGCTGACAATACAGTGTATGGGCACAGCAGCAAGAAGGCAGCCTCTCAGGCTACTCACATGGCGATCACAACCATGCTAGAGGAGCTAGCCCCAAACCTTTGGGAGGATGACTTGAACAGGCTTGTGGACTTTGGACACCTTTTAAGTCCTGCATTAGAAATGGTATGTTCTTGTAATGGCTATCGCTGCTCATTGTCTTACATTTTCAACCCTCCTTGCCTGCTGGTGGTGGTTGGGGGACTGGTGGCACCAGCCTTGCTTCTGTCAATTTGCCCCAGGGCAGCTGTGGCTACATTGTAGCCTATCACCACCAGCTTGTGTGTGTGTGTGTGTGTGTGTGTGTGTGTGTGTGTGTGTGTGTGTGTGTGTGTGTGTGTGTGTGTGTGTGTGTGTGTGTGTGTGTGTGTGTGTGTGGGTGAACAACTGGATTTTTTGTGAAGCACCTTGGAGGGTTGTAGAACCCTAGAAGGAGCTGAATGCATATAGGCCATTCACCGTTGAAGCCACAACAAAACAAGGTGTGTACCTCAGCATTGTTAATTTAGAGGACTATGTGAGCAATTTGTTTGACATCTTTAATTATAAATCCTTTGGGTGGTTATACGTCGCCCATCACATGTCACATCCTCAATCCACAAAGTTTGCTCATCCAATCATATTACAGCCATTACAGCACTCAGTGTGTTCACATGCACATCAGAAAACTGAAGTATTGCCTTAAAAAGATTTGCGTCTTTTTTTTTTTTTTTTTTGCATATGTGTGTGAATGGATGAATGAAACACTGTAGTGTAAAGCGCTTTGGAGTCCTTACTCTGAGAGGCGCTATACAAGTGCGGGTCATTTATTTATCATTTATCATATAAATACGTTAGTCTGGCTGAAGGCGGACTGGTTCTAATCGAGCTGAAGCACCCAGATAATGCGGCAGTAATCTGATTACATTCTGCATGTAAACTGGTTAACCAAACTAAACCAGAAGGATGCTTGCATTCTGGAAATGACAACACCACAGAAGCAGTCTTCTGACAAGACCATCGTCACAAAGCAACACACCTAACACCATAAAACAGGACAGTACGTACCAAATTAGCTGTGCTGCATCATTCTTGTACATTCCTATAGCCATTGTGTGTATCCTGCTTCAATTCCATCTGCTTCACTCCCACCAGCCTCTGTTTACTGTTTGTGTTGCTATAAGCTAACCGGAAGAATGCTGACATGAAAAGGCACATGTCACCACCTACTGTATCGGAGTGGAGCAAACTTTATTTGAAAGGCTAGTTTTTCTAATGCTATTAATGTGCATGTAAACTAAGATAAAGACTCCCAGCTTATTACAATAAGATCAACCTGGATCGACTTAGGTGTGGGTGGCTGGGAGCTTTCTACAGCTAAATGAAGATAAGACTGAGATCCTCATCTGTGCCCCAGACAAGCTGGTTCCCAAAGTCAGAGACTCTCTTGGTCAACTTGCTTCTCAAATCAAACCCTCTGTCAGGAATCTTGGCGTGACCTTTGACCCAGCTCTCACCCTGGATTCTCATGTCAGTTCTCTTGTTCGCTCTTCCTTCTTCCATCTCAGGAGCATTGCTAAGCTGAGTCCCATTCTGTCCCGCGCTGAACTTGAGACAGTTATCCACACCTTCATCTCCTCACGCTTAGACTACTGTAACTCTCTTTTCACGTGTCTGAGCAGAACCTTCCTGAACCGTCTACAGGTGGTTCAGAATGCCTGTGCTCGGCTTCTGACCAAGTCCTCCAAACACACCCACATCACCCCGCTTCTCCTCCAGCTTCACTGACTGCCAGTAAACTTCAGGGTTTATTTCAAGATCCTGGTTCTGGTCTATAGGGCCTTACATGGACAAGCACCATCTTACATTGGTGATCTTCTTAGTCCCTACACCCCCAGCAGGTCCCTGAGGTCCAGTGATCAATGCCTACTGGTTGTGCAGCACCAGGCTAAAGACCAAAGGTGACCGATCATCTGCTGCTGTGGTCCTATTTGTAATCATTTTTGAAATCTTTTTTATACTTACATTTTTTTTTTGTTAATGTGAAGCTCCTCGTGATTTTTTATCTTGAGAGGCGCCATATAAAAGATCATCATCTTCTTCTTTGGTCAGTGCGCATGTAACCACACTGACTGACACTTCTTCCCTTAATGGGTTGCATAGAGGCAAAGCAGCAGTTGGTTGGCTTCCACACTCCGAAACACAATGTGGTCCAGGAATTACACTGATACACAATCGCTGAAAGCACCACAGACTGGGTTTTGTTTAAACAAGGCTTTCTGCTTAAACCCATTCCTTAGTGTCGCCCTAAGTTCACCAAGTTGGACATTACAATGATTTTAAACCCACACACAACTAATTAGCCTTTTTCTCTCTGCTTTTACGGTTGTTGAGGAGGAAAAACAGTAATACCAAACATAAAACATGGAATAAATCGTAGGAAGAAATTACTGTGAGTTCTTACTCCTTTGTCTTCAGTGCACCTCTTCATCTCCCCCCTTTACGTCAAAAGAATTAGAACAATTACCTTCAATGCGAATGCACAAATGTTGGGGTAGGGTGACGTGGAGTGGGAAAGGTAATCCTAACACTTATTTTGTTGGCATCTTATTTCGGTTCAGAGGGAATTCCTTTTTTCACTGCCTTTGTTAGGCACATGCAAAGAATGTATAGCTTAATCTGTTCTCATACAATCCCCTGGCTTGTTTAGGTAAAGTCTGACATGATTTCATTTGTCTTTGTACAATACAGAAAGTTCTTCCATCTTTGCTGCATGGCGAGGCAGTGAACATCGATATGTCTTACATGGTTTACGTGTCCCAAGAGATTGGCCTATTGACGGAGGAAGAGAAGCAAAGGATCATCAGCTGCATGGTGGGCCTGGAGCTCCCCGTCTGGCACGAAGAGTTCACAATGGAGCTGATAGAGAAATCGCTGCAGGACAGACTGAAACATTCTGGCGGTTTAGTCAGAATGCCCCTACCGGTTGGTTTGGGACAAGCAGGTAAGAATCAAGGACTGCAAAAATCATTCAAAAAGCCAAAGAAAAGTCTAAAAGTACAACTGACTAATGTCGTGCCTGTATTCTATTTCTTGCAGAAATTTTTAACAACACATCATATGACATCCTACACAGGGCGTTTGTGAAGTGGTGTGAAGAACTGAGTGTCTCATCTGACAGCAACTGCGACCCTTTATTTCCACATCCAACAGAAGCTTTAGAGTGAACTTTCCAATAAATGTGTTCATATTTAGGAATCCGTATCTGGTATTAGGTAGTTTGGTGCTGCATGTTCACATCGGTGGGGAAATGGTTGTAGTTGTAGGATTAGCTGGTATAAAACAGCACCCAATAAGCCACAAGAGCAAAAACCTGGGCAGCTGCGTTGACAGAGTCAGTATTTTTACAAAAAGCGTCAATCTTTTGTATGAGTACATATTTCTGATTTCTCTGTGAATGGTGACTCAGACTGACTTAGTGTTTTACATTTCTCACAAAGAGAACATCTGTTTATTGTTGGTAAACTTTTTTTTTATGATCATGTAAATATAACAGAACAAAAAGGTGTATAATCTGTGTCTTGCCCGTTTTAAAGATCTGTACTGATGGTTATACAGTTGGGGGGTTCTTTTAGTTCCATTCAGTTTGTTTATAGCACCAATTCAGAATAAGTCATGCAAAGCAATAAAACCATGACAATTTTATATTAAAGATCAAGTTCACTAATACTTTAAGTATGTTTGCAGTGGTCTCTTGTATAAAACAATGCCTTGTGAATTCATCTCTGTGGCCTGCATGCTCCTGTTTCATAAAGTAAAAGTTAGGTGGAGGAGCTGTTTCCATTACCGATAAGAAAATGCATGCATAACTAAAATTCAGCAACAAGGTGTGTTGAAACTGTAGCAGCTGATCAGGAGCTAAAGGGGTAGCTGTTTAAATCCAAGCATAACACAGCCAGTGAGCAACAAGAAAGACCTGATGAATGCATACCCCGAGTCCTGCAGATTAGCTGCTTAAGGTGTGAATCTGCGGGTCTGCAGCTGTACCCTTCTTGACGTGACAGCAGGATTCCCCATGTATGGAAGATCTGCTGACCTGTTCACCGCTCAGATGTCAGTTCAAAAATTCCTCATTTATTATTTTCCTAAGAGGAAGTCTGGTTGAAATAAGTCTCCACCCATTTCTTGACTCCCACCTTTGCAGGTGTTTTTTGTTTAAATTATGAATTTTAATTGACTTGGATGATCAGAAAATGCTAAATGAAAAAAAAATATGTTAAGGCGACTCTTAAAAACTGGCAGGGATGGAGACAGCCTAATTTAAAGTGGCAGCTGGTTCCAGAGTGAGGGAATTTGAAAGATAACTGTTTGCAGTTAATTCATTTCAACTGTTAACTAGTTAGATTCATCCATCCATCCATTTTCATCCGCTTATCTGGAGTCGGGTCGCGGGGGCAATAGCCTAAGGCGAGAGGCCCAGACTTCCCTCTCCCCAGCCACTTGGGCCAGCTCCTCCGGGGAAATCCCAAGGTGTTCCCTGGCCAGGTGAGAGACATAGTCCCTGCACCGTGTCCTGGGTCTTCCAAGTTGTTGGTTGGTCTCCTCCCGGTTGGACGTGCCTGGAAAACCTCACCAGGGAGGGGTCCAAGAGGCATCCTGACCAGATCCCCAAGCCACCTCAACTGGCTCCTCTCGATGTTGAGGAGCAGCGGGTCTACTCCGAGCCCCTCCCGAATGACCAAGCTTCTCACCCTATCTCTAAGGGAGAGCCCAGCCACTCTTTGGAGAAAACTCATTTTGGCCGCTTGTATCCACAATCTCGTTCTTTCGGTCACTACCCAAAGCTCATGACCGTAGGTGAGGGTAGGAACGTAGATCGACCGGTAAATTGAGAGCTTCCCCTTCTGACTCAGCTCTCTCTTCACCACGACAGACCGGTACAACGCCCGCATCACTGCAGATGCAGCACCAATCCGCCTATCGATCTCATGCTCCAGTTTTCTCTCACTCGTGAACGACACCCCGAGATACTTAAACTCCTCCACTTGGGGCAGGACCTCATCCCTGACCCGGAGAAGGCATTCTACCCTTTACCGAATCAAGACCATGGTCTCAGATTTAGAGGAGCTGATTCTTATCCCAGCTGCTTCACACTTGGCTGCGAAACACTCCAGCGAAAGCTGAAGACCCCGTTCTGATGAAGCCAACAGGACCGCATCATCTGCAAAAAGCAGAGACCTGATCTTCAGGCCACCAAAACAGATGCCCTCCACACCTTGGCTGCACCTAGAAATCCTGTCCATTAAGGTTATGAACAGAATCGGTGACAAAGGGCAGCCTTCGTGGAGTCCATCTCTCACTGGGAATGAGCCCGAATTTCTGCCGGCAATGTGGACCAAGCTCTGACACCGGTAATACAGGGACCTAACAGCACATATCAGAGGGCCTGGTATCTCATGCTCCCAGAGTACCCCCCACAGGGCCCCCTGAGGGACGTGGTCAAATGCCTTCTCCAAACCCACAAAACACATGTAGACTGATTGGGCAAATTCCCACGCACCCTCCAGGATCCCCCTAAGGATGTAGCGCTGGTCCAGTGTTCCACGGCCAGGACGAAAACCACATTGCTCCTCCTGAATCTGAGGTTCAATAATCCAATGGACCCTCCTCTCCAGAACCCCTGAATAGACCTTACCAGGAAGGCTCAGGAGTGTGATCCCCCTGTAGTTGGAACACACCCTGCGGTCCCCCTTTTTAAATAAGGGGGCCACCACCCCGGTCTGCCAGTCCAGTGGGACAGGCCCCGATGTCTACGCGATATTGCAGAGCCACGTCAGCCAACACAGCCAACACAGCCACACAACATCCAGAGCTTTAAGGAACTCGGGGCAGATCTCATCCACCCCTGGAGCCTTGCCACAGAGGAGCTTTTTAACCACCTCAGTGACCTCAGCACCCCCGGCCAGTAAGCAACCTGACTCTGCTTCCTCACTGGAAGACGTGTCGGTGGGATTGAGGAGGTCTTCGAAGTATTCTGCCCACCGATCCACAACGTCCTGAGTAGAGGTCAGCAGCACACCGTCCCCACTATAGATATTGTTGGTAGCAAACTACTTTCCCCCCTGAGGTGGACCAGAATCTCCTCGAAGCCATATGGAAGTCTTGCTCTATGGTCCCACTGAACTCCTCCCATGCCCGGGTTTTTGCCTTGGCGACCACCCCAGCCATGTTCCGCTTGGACTGCCAGTACCCGTCAGTTGCCTCTGGAGTCCTACAGGCCAAAAAGACCTGATAGGACTCTTTCTTCAGCTTGACAGTGTAAAGAATAGGTTGTTTACATCTTACTTATGAACCATAAAATGTGAGATTCCATAGAAATATGAAATATCAATCTGATGGCTCTTTGAACATTTGAACCAGAAGATCGGAACTTTTTATTGCAGGGATTAAGTGACACTTCGTATTAACTCCAAGGAAGGAGAGAGAGTCAGGTTTAAAATAGTTAAGAAATTTATTTCTACACACTTTAAACAAGACTAACTTAAACACTCTGTGTACTAATGGACTAAGGTGGAGTGAGACGTGAAATGAACAATGGTGTGTGTGTAGAATGTTATTCAGAACCAGCGGATCCGGGGAAGCAGTTAGTTCTGAGTGGGAGTGAATGTTTTGCTCTAAACTTTAGTAGGAGATTTATAACACACATGAAACGCCATCTGTCGGTCTACATTCCCAGGGGAAGCCTCCGTTAGATCCAGAATGTCGAGGTCCTCAAGGACCGTCCTTGGTACCGAAGCCGGTAGAAAAGCAGCGGTGCCGACCAAACTAGTCTTGAAATGCTTCCAGGTCACGACAGGTTATCACTGGCGTCTCTGAGACCCTGAAGGGGTCGTGAGGTTCAGCTTTTATTCTGAAGAAACCACTGCGGTCAGGTTTAACTTGCAACAGATTTTATTCAGCTTGTCAAGATTCTTTATGGCTGAAGAGGAAGTCCGGATGGCCGGCCTGAAACTTCTCTAGAACGCTTGAACTAAAGAAAAGGTTGTGTGGGATAGATTTTAGAATTGTCATATTTTGGTTTACTGACGAATCAGAATTTGACATGCAAAAGAGGGTTTATACAAACACCACAGAAAACCACGCCTCGCGTCAGAAACAAAGGTTGTGATTGGATCAGACAAAAGGAAATGTGTCGTGTGACTTTAGCATTTCGTGTCATTAGTGTCTAGTGCAAATGTCCAAGATTATAATAACTTGTAAAATACTACTGATCACAGGATTATAATATCAAGTAATAACATTGTCATTTCACAGATTGATTGAACATTGGGCTCACATTATTATTGGTAATAACAAAGTTGTTTATTATGTATTATCAAATTAGTTCTTCGTCTTTGCTGTAACAAAGGTGAAGCAGTTCAGATGAGCAGAGTGCATGAAAGACCTTGGCCACTATCTCATGTAGATTAGGCTGTCAGAGATTTTGTGTCTCTGCTCGAGCAGACAGAGCAGATCATGACCTTTAGGTCATAAACAGGACATTCATGACGCTACAACAGCATTCCTAATCACCTGTGTCCACCAGCAGGTTCGGGGGTTGCCACCACGACAGGCATTGACAATCCTGCAACCACAGCTCCGGTCAGCCACCTCAACAATGGAGGCACGGAACAGGGTCCATTCAGACTCAATGTCCCCCGCCTCCCCCGGAACATTTTGGAAGTTCTGTCGGAGGTGGGAATTGAAGCTCCTTCTGACAGAAGACTCTGCCAGAATTTCCCAGCAGACCCTCGCGATACGTTTTGGGCCTGCCTGGTCTGACCGGCATCCTCCCCCACCATCTGAGCCAACTCACCACCAGGTAGTGGTCAGTTGACATCTCCACCCCTCTCTTCACCCGAGTGTCCAAGACATGCGGCCGCAGGTCAGATGAAACAACAACAAAGTTGATCATTGAGCTGTGGCCTAAGGTATCCTGGTGCCAAGAGCACACATGGACACCTTTATGTCTGAACATGGGGTTCATTATGGACAATCCATGGCTGGCACAGAAGTCCAATAACAAAACACCACTCAAATTCAGATCTGGGGGCCGTTCCTCCCAACCACACCTCTCCAGGTCTCACTGTCATTGCCCACGTGAGCATTAAAATCCTCCAGCAGAACAAGGGAGTCACCGGAAGGAGTGCTAGCCAGCACCCCCTCCAAGGTCTCCAAAAAGGTTGGGTAGTCTGAACTGTAGTTTGGTGCATAAGTACAGACCACAGTCAGAATCTGTCCCCCCACACATAGGCGGAGGGACGCTACCCTCTCATTCACTGGGGAAAAACCCCAACGTACAGGCACCAAGATGGGGGGCAACTAGTATGCCTACCCCTGCTCGGCGCCTCTCAGTGGGAGCAACTCCAGAGTGGTAGAAAGTCCAACCCCCCTCAAGGAAACTGGTTCCAGAGCCAAAGCCATGCGTTGAGGTGAGTCCGACTATATCTTGGTGGAACCTCTCAACCTCACACACCAACTCAGGCTCCTTCCCCACCAGAGAGGTGACATTCCATGTGCCAAGAGCCAGCTTCTGTAGCCAAGGATCAGACCGCCAAGGTCCCCGCCCTCGACTACCACCTGTCACACACTGCACCCGACCCCTTTGGCCCCTCCCACGAGTGGTGAGCCCATGGGAAGGGGGACCCACGTTTACTCTTCGGGCTGGGCCGGCCAGGCTCCATGAGTGAAAGCCC